AGCGTCATGAGGCTAGGCTCCATGCGACCGCAGCGTACCGGCGCGTACTCGGCGAAGCCGGACCGCGTGACCCACTCGGCGACCTGCTGCGCTGTCCAGTTCTCCATTGCAACGAAAGTGGGTTCCGGATAACCATTCCGACGAAATTCGATATTCTGGCAAAAACAGTGGTTTTACAAAACAGTATTTCAACTATCGACTTGATACTTATCGAGATTGGATTTTGGGAGCGGATCGAGATCATGCGATATTGATATGGCGGGAAGCTGTGCTGGAGCGCTGCGGCAGAGGTTGCTGGGCGACACGTGGGTGCCGGCACTGGGCCGCGACGACAAGCCACACGAGCTGCACAAAAGCACTCGCTGCGCACAACGCTCCCGACGTCGACCAAGCCACTTGTGCAGTACATCATGTTGCCGAGGTTGAGACACGTTCGATGCACCGCGGCCGTTGCTTGAACGACGCCCCGAGCCAAGAGACTAGCACCGGAGACCACGGATGGCTGCTGTTATCTTGGCGGCAGCACCGTGCGAACGAGGTGCAAGGCCTCGCCAGCGAGCAGTGCCGACGCGACAATTGACTTGCGCGTGAGCTGGAGATCGCCAAAACCATGGTGAACACAGCTGCGAGGCCGATGCGGGCAAAGCGCGCACGCCGACGAGGCTTTACCTCAGTGCATGGCGATAGGTATTAAGAGACTTAGCAGTAGCACTGCGCAAGGCTCAACCCAGGCGAGAACACAACACGAGCTTAGCAGCGCAAAAGCATGCAAGGCAGGTGGAAAGGGGGCGTCAAATGACCAAGTGCGAGCAAAGCTCCGCCACCCAAAAACCACCTCCTGTGAGAATATATTACATGGACATCATCGATTCTTGGAGACCATCGTTGGAGATACCTGAGACGAATGCGGCGTCTCTCAGGTATGCATGCCAACAAAAGCGACCGAGATGCCGGTGGTCGCCCTTGGTGCCCACAAACTGCATGCACGAGAGGCTCCAACGTACGTCAGAGGACGCAGCAACAAGAGGCGATGGGCTTCAGCAAGTCGTTGCATACGACCGTCCAGCCCGACCCAAGAGCGTCATTGGAATCGACTTGCCGAATCGGGTCTGGAAAACCGAGGGCATTCTGTACAAGCACATAGCTTTGAGGCCGACCTGGATGCGGTTGCAAGTGTAAGTGCAAGAGGTTGTGCGCGGCCCAGAGAGCAACCTCGCCGACAATGGGGACTGGTGCAGTTGTGGCCAGGAGCTGCGCCAGCCACGTGGCACCTGCAGCGCTCGATTTCGCAATCAGGTACCGGGCCGCGTTGGTCGAATGACGCTTAGCAGCGCGCTTGCTGCGTCACGTGTACACCATCTCCCATCGACGTTCCACGTCCAACCAACAACAAAACTGAGCTGTCCATTTCGCGCAGCCTCTGTATCACCAGCGCGGGCGCCGAGAGCTACTCGCAGAGCTGCTTGCGCGGGCGAGATGCCTGCCCCGGTGCGAAAAACGCCGGTGGTCCAGCCGCTCGCCGTCTGCGAAGCAAACGCCAGCTCCATGTTGAAGCTATGCGTCAGCAAGTGAGACGCATTGTTCGCGTTATAGTCGGGCCAGAAGCAGTCGTTCTCCGTGTATGGCGCAACGAGCGAGAGCGAAAGCCAGCTCAGCACCATAGAGACTACGACGGACGCGACGCCGACCTACTCTGGGGTGGCTAAACCCTAGCATATGGACCGTCCGAAATGCTGGAACGGCGGTCCCGCCAGCCCATCGGCAGCGCTTATTCACGGGCAAAGTAGTGGCGGTGTCATCCAACAAGCAGCTCCTCCACAACCCGCATCATGCTCATGTACTGTTTCGCACCGCGTCGCGTACGCCGTCGAGGGTGATCTCTGATGGCATTCAAGTCGACCAACTGCGTGCCGCCGCTAGGCTGCACATCCCCATGCGACCAGCGACGTTGCACTTTCGTCGACTAATCGACTAGCGCGCCGCTGCAGAGGAGGGGCGGCTTTATCCCAAAGCACCCGAAAAAGTACGGTTTTGCTGGGTGATACTGCCCGACTCCTGGTACAAATGCAGTATACGTTCGATTTCGAAGCTGGGTTTTTGGGTAAAACCTCCTTGCTAGTCGACTAGCGACGATATTCAGTTGAGCGACAGGGCAGACGAAAGTTTCGAATCTTTGTGCTGGCCAATCGGAGGCCATCTCAACGGTCGCAGACAAGTACACTTGAATACAGTATATGATGAAGGGGTAGGGCGCTAAAGATTTCAGCCAATCTGGACAGAGCTCGTCGGCCGTTGCTCTGCGCTGCTCAGTTCCCAATTCGCGCCGAGCCCCAGACAGCGGTAGACTCGCATTCTACGGCGGTGGCCCCGCCTGGTAGCCCAGGCTTGAATAGATCCCTGCGTCCTCGCCTCCTCGACGAAGCGAACGCGATCAAGCCGGCAGCGCGACGACGAAGCACCGCAAGCACGAGAATGAGAAGCGCCCGCGGGCAGCAGACGTAGCAGCAGCAGCACGGGTCGATGGCGATGGCCGCAGCAACGGGCGACAACGACGCAGAGCACGAGCACAAGAGCGCACATGAGGACGAGCGCAGCATGAGAACGAGCGCAGCAGCAGTACGAGCGCGAGAGCGCCGCAGCAGTGTGTGATCGCGGGCAGCAGCAGCAGCAGAACAACCGCAAGCGCGCGGCAGGACGAGCCACGGGTCGCGCAGCTCGAGTCGGACGCGAAGGTGTATGTGGTCTGGACACGGGGTGACACGTTCGGCAACGGCAACATGGGCATGCGAGGCGCGCGATATCAAGCCGCCGAGGTCTGCACGTGGGATACGTATGCATCTTCTTCCAGTGACGCGTCTGGGAGGTAGGCCGATTGGGAACTCCATGTATTCTTGCATGTCGGT